GACAGGAAGTCGTTGGTTTACGATCGGCAAATGTTAAAATTAATATTATTATTTATTTTTGCCTTTTTATTTCTGACTGATCATCCCAACCATCCTTCTCTTCAGTAACAATTTATGAATATTAGAAATGGTGATCATTTTAACAATTATCGACGCTAATTCTATCGATTGAATTCATCAATGATTATATACATACCTCTGTATTCAGAAAATTGTCATGTATCGTTTTAGAAAATTAAATTATTGAATAATTTGATGAATTTTCCTTTAGAGATTCATAACATTATCCTCTTAAAATTAGTGTGTCAACTTTTGAACTATTTATAGCAGGCGATGAAAATCTCGAAATTTCAGTTTAGTAAACTTTACAATGGAAAATAACAGTTTAAAAACTAATAGGCGTACAATCTATAATCATTTATTGGTTATACTTTCAAATCTCTTTAGGCATATATATATTTAGCTCAGTAACTGGTGTTATGTGGTTCACAAAAACAGATGGAGTACCGAGGTTTCTATTGTCTACCGTTGATATAATTAATAGAGTTTTTGTTATTTTAGTGGTCTTAATGATTTCTCATCTGTAAGCTTTAAGCCATAGCTCTGTTAAAAGTTCACTTAAAAAAATTTATAATTGCTCAACATTGCCAGAAAATAATTTTTTTTCAAAGTAGAGAGGTAAGTGAAAGTTATGTATTGTGTGTACCAGATTTTTAATAAATAAGTTTTATTTATTTAAAATTATTTAGATTTGCATGAAAACGGCAATTTTTAGTCTTATTTTTTGTTCTGTTATTGAGTTCCTTACTTATTAAAATAAGGGTTGATTTATCCCAATAAAGTTTCATATTTTTTCAAGTCTCTGCAAGTAATACAACGTTGCCAAATTTAAAAAAAAAAATCTGAGATAGTGTGATCTAGACCCAACTATCGATCAATATAGAACAATATATATATAGGCTGTCCCAAAATTAAAGCAAGATTTAAATTAAATATTAAACACAATTCTTTTGTCTTTTGTTTCGTTTTTATTTGTCAATTTAGCAGCTGATAGTTTAAGGTTAATAAAAATGGAGCGTTATACGAGCAAACAATGTGTTTTCATTTTTGAAAAATATTTTTAAAATAATGAGTTCGAAAATTACTTACAAAATAAATTCGGAATAGTGATTCAACTTCATCAACTGTGAAGATAGTGGTTGAGAAAGTCAAGCAAACTAGATCAATTGGTGATGTTAAAAAACACTGGTCGGCCAAAAACAAGTCGATAATATCGAAGCCGAAAGACTTTCATTATTTTTAAAATATTGTTCAACATCACTGAATGTTTAACATCACCAATCGATCCAGTCTGCTTGACTTTCTCAACCACTCTCTTCACAGTTGATGAAATTAAATCACTATTCCTACCATATTTTGAACGAAATTTTCGAACTGTGGTCACAAGACTTTCATTATTTTAAAAATATTTTTCAAAAATGAAAACACATTGTTTATATTCCCCCACTTCGACTACGGCTGTTTGGTGTATGGAGGGCTATATGCCAGGCTAGAAATGAGACTAAAGAGACTCATAAATTGTTTCATAAGATACATCTTCGGGATCCCCAGGCGTTCACATGTTTCATTCTGGTACATCGAGTTGAAGTGGCTTTATCCTACTTCCCGACGACAATGCCTCCTTGGTGTTTTCCTTTTCCAAGTCTTCAGAACCTAAAACCCTCCCTACATCCTGGAACTCCTTACTCTACGCTCCTCTATTCACTCTCGTAATACTAGATCTCAACCTATAGATTTATATATCCCCTCTCATAAAACTATTTTCTTCAGCAAATCCTTCGACATTCGTACTACCTCCTTTTGGAACTCTCTTCCTACCTCCATACGTCAATCCTCGTCCATCAATTCCTTCAAGCAACTCCTGTTCCACCTCCTACTCCACATTCAAACTTCCGCAAACATGTAAAATTACTTGTATCTGTATACTGTTTAATTTCAATGTACTGCACAATTGCAATAACAATAAGCAGTTAATTTGTTTGTATTTTTTATTATTTTAAGCCAGACTAATACCCATAAATTTGTAACGCTTGTTGGGCGGTGGAGAATAAAAATGAACGAGTCTAAGAACCAATTTGTTTCATTTACACTTAAACATGACTCTTGTCCTCCAGTATTCTTTAATAATATCGCTCTACCACCTTCAAAAACTGTACGATATTTGGGTGTCCACTTGGACAAACGACTGGCATGGACATACCACATAAAACAAAAGAGAAAAGAACTTAAACAGCGATACGGACTTCTTTCTAGGCTACTTGATCGACGTTCTAAATTATCTGTGACTAATAAATTAACTATTTACAAAGTCCTCATTAAACTACTTTGGACATATCGAATCGAACTATGGGGAACAGCTAAGAAATCAAATATAAAAATCATCCAGTCATTCCAGTCAAAAGTCCTTCGGAAAACTGTAGACGCACCCTTTTATGTTTCAAACCTCACGTTACACACTGACCTTAACATTCCTTTCATCACGGCAACTGGCACTGACCGCTTTAATAATTTTCATGACAGACTGACTCTAAATTCCAATCCACTTACTCAAGCTCTATCTACTGCTACAAATCCATATAATTCGTCCAGAAGACTGCTGAGGCGCTGGCCAAGAGACTTATTACATTGAGCTTCTTGCTGCGTTATCTTTTTTTTATGTGTGTGTTATTATGTTATTATGTATGTGTTATTGTACTACTTTTATTTTTGTTTTTTTTTTTGTCTTTTTGTTTTGTTATACTATTCTTTTTTTTTATGCTATCATTTCTTCTCCTTGATATCATATTTGCTGAATACCGAGGTAGATGGCAAGTGTATTGTGAGCCAGGAATATGTATAACTAATAATAATAATATCTTATAATACGTAAAATCGTATATTCAAAAAACTATATAAAAAATCATTACTGTACAGTGTAATTTCTCAACAAAAAAATTATATGATCATTTATAGATATTATGCTTATGTGTAAATAAGCTGAAAATCCCCAGAGAGCTCGCTCGTGTAGAGAAAAGATTTGCCATGCTTAGCGACGCCTCCGTGATAATGTGTCACGTTCTCAGATATAAACCTTCATAAATACCATTTTCCTTTCCAACACGAGTTTCCTCAACAGTCTCCGATCTATCGCAATATTGAATCGCTTTTCACGATTTTCTTGTAAATCTAGTTCACGGCGAATTTATTGTTCATAATAATATAGCATAGGAAGAGTGGTTGTAGCAAGTTAATCCTGGCGCTAGTGGGTTGTCCAAAATAGGTCTTGTCCTTGCATTTTGCAAATGACCAAGACAGGTTTAAAAAAAAAAAAAAAAAAAAAAAAAAAAAAAAAAAAAAAAAAAAAAAAAAGCGTTATGAATAATTTTTTTTTTAAATGAAATTTACAACTGTATTATATAGAAAATACAATAAGTAAATGTGACCTGTACAACATGAAGAGAAACTATCCATTGGTATATTAGAAGGTCCCGAGGCCACCTTCTTCTCAGACGCCTCGGAGGGTTATCAGGGATCGAGGAGGAAGCAAGGTTTGAAACGAGAGGATTCAGATGGTTCTGCAGTTGTTTATGGAAGGATAGGTATCTGGATTGGACCAAATCGGAAATGTATGGAACATTAAGGCCTTTATGGACGATTTTATTTGTCCATTAAGTAGGATTTTGGATTGTAAGGATTGGATATGAGAGGAATTCGATGGTTTAATGGAGCCTCAAAGCTCAATTCCGTAAGTCCAAATAGGTTTTATTATTGTCATATATATGAGTAATTTGTAATTGATTGAAATCATAGAGCGTTTATCTAGTAAGTGCTGCAGTAGTCGAAAACGTCAGGCAGTTTCTAGTCGTTTCAATCTGGTATGGGGGTTCCAAGTGAGTCGTTTGTCAAGGTGGAGTCCTAAGTATCGGATTTGTTCGACAGGGATAAGAGAGCTATTGTTGAAGGATACTGTAGGACAGGAAGTCATAGGTTTACGACGAAGAGTGGAGGTAATTTGATGGGATTTATTGGAATATATTTTAATCCTCCAGTTTTGACACCATTTTTCAAGGCTTGTGATGTATGATTGAAGAGTTTGGGATGCAATAGATGGATCGTTATTAACTGATAGGATACACGTGTCATCGGCATAGGTGGTGATGACACGTGTTGGATTGAATAAAAATGAATACAAAATAGTTACTAATATTAGGCAATTTTAGTTACTATACCTAGTTCTGCCATGAATACTGTTACATTTTTGGATATTATTTAGATAATCCTTACATCTATCAGGTTTTTTTCTTTACATGTCAGAATAATAATCCCAATTAGTTTGTACTTTTCTTTCAAAACAGTTAACATAGAGTGGGCTGATAAATAAAACCAAATAGTTCTGATCGCCTTACACAAAGTTGGAAAATGTAGATCAGAGATTTTCAACAGTTTGAAACCTTTGGGTATCAGCAGTATGTTCGTGTACCGCACTATAAATAGATATAATGAGACCCTATCTGTATGTGACAGACCTCGACCGGGTCTTCCCCGCACTGTGAGAACGGCAAATGCAGTGAGAGCAGTGGCTGCTCGAATTAGAAGAAATCCCATTCGTAAATAACAAATCATGTATCGGGAAATGAGAATAACTGTTAGATCAATGTCTCGCATACTAAAAATTGACTTTAGAATAGGTGCAGTTCGAAGAATGACAGGACAAAGGCTAACCACTTTCCTAAAAAAAAATAGAGTGGATAGATGCAAAGTGCTTCTTGGCTGTTACACCAATGGTCTTCATCAATAGATTTTGTTTAGCGATGAGAATATTTTTGCATTTGAAGAAAAATTTAATTGTCGAAATGATCATGTGTAGGCACACAGCTCTAAAGAAGCCAAAGAAGTCATCGGAAGAGTGGAAAGAGGTCATCACCCTTCCTCAGTGATGGTTTGGTGGGGAGTGTGCTTTGATGGCACCACAAAGCTCCATTTTGGTGAAAAAGGAGTTAAAACAAGCCGCTAAAAACTATCAGGACGATATTTTGGAACCTGTTGTCAACCCTCTAAAGGGTTTTCCAGCAGGATTTTGTTCTAGCTCACAAGACCAGGTCAACTCAGGAGTTGTTGCAAAAGATCATTCCAGAGTTCATCTCTGTCTCGGATTGGCTATCAGCAATCCTTGATCGCAACCCACTAGATTATCGGTTTTGGTTCGAACTGGAGAAGATGGCATGCCACAGAGCACACACTAATTTGGAAAACCCCAAGCAATCTCTGGTCCGAGCAATTGAACGCTTTCCTCAAGAAGTGCTGCGTGCTGCTATTGATGACTGGCCACGGAGATTAAATGCCTGTGTCAAGGTTAAAGGGGGGCATTTTGAGTAATTTTCTTTTCTTTTCTTGTTAATTTAATTACATTTTAAACGTTTTATAATAAAATTTTACCATAGAATATATACTTAGCGAGTTAGGCCCCAAAACATTTTTCTTTTCTTTATAACTTTTTTCCTTGAATTTTTTCAGGAATTTAATCCATAGACGAAAACTGAAAGGATAATTATTAGAACATTATAGGAAAGTTTCATCAAAATCGTCAGTTAATCGTTGTTTTTGCGTTACAGTCTATACTGAAAAACATGTTTTTTCATTTATTGCGCAGCAGCTATTGCGCATGGAGCAACGAATTTCTGTCACATGCATCAGTAGTCAAAATCCTACAAAATAAAAAAAAAGCAACAAAATCGGTTCAGTAGTTCCCGAGAAAATCTTGGCACAGACAGACAGACAGACCAATAGCTAAAAATGTGTTTTTCGGACTCAGGGGGATCTGAAACGTATAGATCCGTCGAAAACCGCATGTCGGAAATTTGACCCGATTGCAATACTTTCCTTACCTAGTATTGGTAGGAAAGTAATAAGTTAAAAAAATGTGTAAAAAAATAGAATAAGCTGTATCATCGCTAATACTGGTTCGATTCCGATGATGTTTTTTTGGTTTTGTTAGTAATTTAAATACCTTTCAAAAGTTTTATAATAAATTTTACAATACAATACAATGATAAAATCATGATAGAAAAGTTTCATCAAAATCGTTAGAGCCGTTTTTTCACTACAGTCTATAGAAAAACATGTTTTTCATTTATTGCGCATGGAGCATCCGATTTGTGGCATTAGTAGTCAAATCCTACAAAATAAAAAAAGAAGCAACAAAATCGGTCCACTATTTCCCGAGAAAATATTGGCACAAACAAACCGACAATGTCTAAAAAGTGTTTTTCGGACTCAGGAGGCCCTGAAAGGTATAGATCCGTCAAAAACCGCATATCGGATATTTGACCCGATAGCAATACTTTCCTTACCTAGTATAGGTAGGAAAGTCTTCCTCTAAAGTACCTTTAATATGGTTTATTTTAAAAAGTTAATCATTTCACACAATTCAAAGTTACGAAAAAATGCTAAATATAACTTTTAAAAGAATTTGATAAGTTAATAAAGGAGTAAAAAAATAAAAATGCAGAAAAACCTGCGTTGCTATAGACTGTAACTCCTAAACGAATGTACCGATTTCAATGAAACTTCGCTAAAGTCATTTTTTCGACACCCTTTAAATTTATCTATGCAACATACTTCAACGAAAAGAAGTTGGAAAAAAATTTACGAGGGATGGTAAAATTTAATTCCGAATAACTCAAAAAATATACACTTTTTTGGGGATGTTGTATATGGTTTTTTAAAAGTTTATGGAATTTCCTAAAAAAAAAAAAAAAAAAAATCGTTAAGATAGGACAATTAGGAGGAAAGATATGGTCTCTAGTTTTTTTCCCTGAAGAGGCGAACATTTGGATAAATTTAAAATATACTTTTTTAATTGTTGAGACTAAAAAAAAAACCTTTTTTCTACAGATTTTTTATAAAATATCTTTCCTAAGAACACCTTTCATAAGAAATAAGTACCTAAATTTATACCTTTATTCTGAGTTCTATATTTCAACACTGCAATCACCGCCTCCGGAATCAACTAACTCATATTCTGCATAGATAACTTTTTCAACTAAAAATATCACTAAAATGACATTTCTCAAAAATGTTGAAATTGGAGTTAGTCATTTTGAGGTTTATAGAAGCAAAGAAAGTTGTGTGGTTCATAAAAGCAGATAGAGTGACTAGATTTTTATTGCCTGTCGTCGATATATTAAATAGACATTTTGTAATTATAATGGTCTTAATGACTTGTTATCTGTAAGCTTTAAACTTTATAATAGACTAGCATTGCTAGAAATTAATTTCTATTCATAGTAGATCGAAGTGAAAGTTGTGTGTTGCGCGCACCAGATTTTTTTTAAAATGAATTTGCCGTTGCGATCCTCAAGTTACTGGCCTAATATTCTTTAAATCAGTGGTCATTTTTCTAAGCAGCCTTCCAGGAATGGCAGACAAACTTTTTTTTTTTAAATAACACACACTTTCGTAATTTACATTCAAATTCTCGCCTGTGATTAGGTCTATTTTTGGGTCCCGGCTCAAGGGCTATGAGAGATTGTATCTGAGCAGCGCCACTGGCCCTCGTGCGGCTACCGTGGCAACCAAGGAGATCCAGCGAGCTACGAAATTGGTGGACAAAGAGAAGCGAAGGAGATGAGCTAATTATGGAGTGAGCGGTGGAGTGACGTCATGAGAATGCCTATCCGAAAGCACGGAGAGCGGTAGTGAGAGGTCCGGGTGGTGCAAGCCCCGTCCCCTCCTCGTCGTTAAAACTTATTGAGCAACTCGCCTCAAGTCGCTCGCGAAATTTATGCGCTCGCAGTTCGAAAATCGTTAGTTCTAACATAACGTTGTTTTTTTTATCTCTCTGTAGTTTAGCCAGTCATTACTATCTCTCTATCTCTTTGGAATTATGTCCGAATTCTCTAGACCGGCCTGAGGAATGGTTTGTTATCAGATTGAGGGATACTGAAAATTATCCAATTCACAGCAGAAATGTAGGATATTTAAGATTTGGGACTTTTTAAGTGAGTAACATTTCTTTTTTTTAATAAGAAGCGCTAGCAATTAAAAATATTTAACTCAAATAATTAAACATTGCTCAATAGTAAACAAGAAAAATTTTGCTTTAAAATAAAGTAAATATTGTCATTGTTGAAACCACTTAAAGAGATTGAGCGGCTAAACTCAGCTAAATTCCATTTAAAAAATATCATAAATTATTCTTAATTTTTTTCATCACTTTTTAACTGTATTATAGTTACTCCACTTTAAGAAAAACTGCACTGTTTAATAAGCTTTAAGTCTATATTGATTAAGTTGAAAAAACTATTATTTTTAAATTTTTATTTTTATGAAAAAAAAATGTGTTTATAGGCAATTATGTTTATTACAATACATCTCATAACACTCAAAAACAATAAGTAAAAGATTTTCTATAGTCAATTGTAGTCATTTTTGATGAAAACATGGAGAGCAAAACTCATCATTTTTTTTAAACAACTTGAGATGAATCTCAAAATTTTTCGCAGTAAATCTTAACTTAATAAATACGGACTTAAAGCTTGTTAAATGAGAATGTTTTCCTAAAAGTGGAGTTAATTTATTACAGTTAAAGGGTGATAAAAAAAAAAAATCACAAATATTTTATGACTGACACAAATAATATTTGAAAATGTCCACTCAATAGTATACTTTAAATAGTTTCAACTATGACAAACTCTACTATTGCTTAAAGCAAATTTTGTCTAGTTTTCCATGAATCAATGCTAAATTACTTAAATTAAATATTTGTTAAGTTATCGCTTCCTATTGAACAAAAAACGTGACGCCAAAAAAAAAAACAAATCTTACATTTCTTACTTTTCTGCTGGAAATTGGGCAATTGTTTAACAGAACTTTTTTGTTGATCTAGGTGTCTTCTATTACAATTTTAAATATTTCTCTCTACCTGCGGTACAGCCTGTATATTATTTCTTAAAGGTGATTTTTTTTTTCCATAAGCTATAAGGTAATTTTAACTTATTTGAATCATTTAATAATAAATAATTGAGTAATAATAATGTTATAAAATAATTATAGGTGGACATGACAAAAATAAATTTTGTTTACATGAGTAGACGCATGCAATTCGCATAAGTTGAAAAGAACAGGTACATGATTGGTATTTTAGGTATATAAGATGAATCTCTATATGTTGAAGTATGAAATGTTTTAAATATGACTGTAAATTGTAAAAAAATTTTAGACTTGAAAGTGGCTCAACGAGCCGAAACGTCGTTATCAGATGTGTAGTCATTAAGTTGACAAAAAAATTTGAAAATTGGTGTAAAATGGCTGAAAATAAATATACTTGAAAATAAATAGTATGCACCGAAGAAGAATTGGAGAAATATTGTGAATATTTGTTATGTTATCGCTTCCTAGTTAATAAAAAAACGTGAAGCATAAAAAAACACAAATCTTACATTTCTTACTTTTCTGCTGGAAATTGGGCAATTGTTTAACAGAACTTTTTTGTTGATCTAGGTAGCTTCTATCACAATTTTAAATATTTCTCTCTACCTGCGGTACACCTTGTATATTATTTCTTAAAGGTGATTTTTTTTCGATAAGCTATAAGGTAATTTTAACTTATTTGAATCATTTAATAATAAATAATTGAGTAATAATAATGTTATAAAATAATTATAGGTGGACATGACAAAAATAAATTTTTTTTACATGAGTAGAAGCATGCAATTCGCATAAGTTGAAAAGAACAGGTACATGATTGGTATTTTAGGTATATAAAATGAATCTCTATATGTTGAAGTATGTAATGTTTTAAATATGACTGTAAATTGTAAAAGTTTTTTAGACTTGAAAATGGCTCAATGAGCCGAAACGTCGTAATCAGATGTGTAGTCATTAAGTTGACAAAAAAATTTGAAAACTGGTGTAAAATGGCTGAAAATAAATATACTTGAAAATAAATAGTATGCACCGAAGAAGAATTGGAGAAATATTGTGAATAATTGTTATGTTATCGCTTCCTCGTCAATAAAAAAACGTGACGCATAAAAAAACACAAATCTTACATTTCTTACTTTTCTGCTGGAAATTGGGCAATTGTTTAACAGAACTTATTTGTTGATCTAGGTGTCTTCTATCACAATTTTAAATATTTCTCTCTACCTGCGGTACACCTTGTATATTATTT